GCCGACTTCTGAGGATGTGCTGGCAGGTCCTCGTTGTGCCTCCATCCCCTGCCCTTGTGGAACAACTCATCCTTATTGCACCCCCAGACGTCTCGGTTGGGAAGGCCCAGCGTCTCACCTGAGACTCCTCATGACTGATCATCCTGGAGCTTGAAGGTTGCAACGGCTTCATGGCTGGTGGGAATCATTCCGAAAATGGGCATCCCGCCCCAGCGGCGCGCATCTCCGCCTGAACAACCTGCAACGGCCTCAAGGACGGAGTGGGGTGGTCTTCAGAATGGCGCTCTCGCCCCGGCGCCGTGCATATCCGCCTCAAGTCTGCACGTCGACATTGGGCTTCCGCTTGAGACTTCCTGCCACCTGGGCGACGATCGAGAACGGGGCTTACGCGAGGTGGCGTAGCGACCTGACGCGGTGGCTTGCGCATGCCGCCGGCGCGGCATCTTGTTTGTCGCCGCTCACTTGAGGGCCAGAGCCGTCACCATATGCATCAGCTGCACGGGAGGAGGGCAATTATGTTTTCCAACATGGGGCTGTTACTTGAGACTTCCTCGAAAATCATAACTCGGCTCGAGCTAGACGGTATTGTTCGTTTTCGTTTTGTTGTGGTTCTACGTTGTTCTGTCTTCGTGCTGCCTGTGCTGCAGAACGAGAGCATAACGAAAACGATCCACGAAATCGCCAAAACACACGGTTCCAGTCGAGCCCTGGCTCAGAACCACAGGTGTGAGCATGCGCCAAAAAGTCAAACAGAAGTGGTGGCAGCCTTGTTTCTCAAAAACGGGGGTATCGCTGGACACTCCGCTGAACTGTGTGATCATACAGTCGGGGCGTTGACCCAAGGTAGCCTTGATGAGGAACGAGGCCCCCTCCCTCCAGAAGTCAAACCTCGATGTCCCATCGAAAACCTAAGGAACACCCGAGACAAGCTGTGCAACGATGAAAGGAGCACGGAGCCCCTCCCAGCGAAAAGACTTCCTTCTTCATGCGTGCAAGACTCATATCCATATCCAGTGCCTCTTGGAAGCGGTGCCACAAGGCCGAGGCGCACTGGATATGGATAAAAATCGAGCCTCTAGTGGGCAAATTTATCCATATCCAGTGCGCCTCGGGTTTCTTGGGAAGGGAGCCCGAAACTCCATACCGCAGTGGATATAGACAGAAGTGGTGCCCGGTGTGCGTCCGACTCCCGCCTCCGCGCCCGAGCGGTACCAGGGGAGCGCCTCGTCGAAGCGAGAGGCCCACGCCTCAAGCGGCAGGCCCGCGGGGGCCCCGGCAGTTTCAGGAGGAGCGCCAGCTGCACTGCAAAAGGCACGGCTTGCACGGGCCCGCGAGGAAGGGGGCCTTGGTGGACTCGGGGGTGCAACTCGAATTCCTCGGGCCCTCCTCCCTCCTGCTCCTCGCCCTCGCTCCTTCCCCTTATGCCCTCTCCCCTCGCCTCCTGCCTCCCCCCGCCGCGTCTCCTCCGCCTGCTCTTCCTCCCTCATCCCTCGCGCCTCCTCCTTCGCCTTCTCCCCCCTCCTCCTCCCCCTCCCCATCATCCAGCATCCTCCCCCTCCCCTTCCCTCTCCTCTTTCCCCCTCCTTTCTCCGCCTAATCTGCATTGCCCTCCTCCTTATGTTTCTCCTCCTCCTCCTCCTCCTCCTTTTACTTCCTCCTCGTTATCCTCATCATCAGCATCATCATCATCATCATCAGCATCATCATCATCATCAGCATCATCAGCATCATCACCATCATCATCAGCATCATCGTCATCATCATCGGCATCAGCAGGATCCTCATCAGCGTCATCATCATCATCATCATCATCATCATCATCATCATCATCAGCAGCATCATCAGCATGAGCATCATCATCAGCAGTGGCATCACCATACTATTTATGTCAACCCGTACGATACGGACGCACGATGAGGAGGCAAGGGCATTGGAAAACCAAGTCGACAATTTGCGAGCGGAGCGTGGCCAGCGAAAGCGGCAATGGATGGACCGAAGGGAATGATGCAAGGGTAACCTTGGAAAGTCGCTCATTCTTCACTGCAAGCATCATCATCCTCGTCATCATCACCATCATCATCATCATCATCATCAACATCATCATCATCATCAACATCATCATCATCATCAGCATCGTCATCACCACCACCGTCATCAGCGTCAGCATCAGCATCATCATCATTATCATCAGCATCATCATCATCATCATCATCATCATCATCATCATCATCATCCTCGCCATCAACATCAGCACCAACATCGTCACCAATACGTCCTCACCATCACCATCACCATCATCATCCTCACCATCACCATCACCATCACCATCACGTTTTAGGTCGGGCACGTCCCCGTACAGGCGCAATATGAAAGAAAAACTAAAAGTATATAGTCAAAACATATGGTTTTAGAATAGATACATTATCAAAAATTGTCGAACAATCGTCCCCAGACTATCTTTTGACTATTCTCGCAAATCTCTCCTGCAGAGGGACACGCCCGATTTCACACGAACGGCGAACTCACGCATCCATGGCCGCACCCTCGCGGACGGGCCTCCGGGGCGCGATTCCGCGGATGCCCGGTCGCACGGCGACGCTCCGCGCGGCAATTCTGCAGCAACAAACACGCCCAGGAGCCGCGGGGCCGCGGCCCAGAGGCCCGGCCCGCGAGGACGCGGCTGCGGATGTGATGTGTTCGCTTAGGTCGGGCATGTCCTCCTACAGACGGATTTCCGACGAGAGATCAACACTATCACCAACAGAACAACATGTCGGAAAAATCGTCCTCCGTCCACAGACCAGTTCTGGACTGTTTTTGAGTGTTCCTCCTGTAGCGGGACACGCCCGACTTCACCCTCGATATCCTGGCCGCAGCGCACCCCACGAAAGGTCTGGCGACGGATGTGTGCCACCACTGGGTTGCGATTAAAATTTGAAACCTAAATGTGCCGACGTGCCGCTGCTCCCCGGAGGTCAAGCCTGGGGCGCGTTCTGGGGGCGCGCTAGGCCTAGGGGCGGCGCCGGAGGCGCTGCCAGGGGGGCCCAGCGCGGATCCAAGAAATCCGCGCGGAACGCCAAACGTTCTTATGGCGTTGTTGCTTCTTCGAGGGTGGTGTATCGGCACCTTTTCCTCGCTCCGCAAACAACAAAAAACGTGCTTAAAATCGAGCCGAAGACTTTCGGGGGCGGTCAAGAGAGGGGCGTCCAGGAGGGGGGGGGTCGGGGGTCTGCTGACCCGGGTCAATCAGACCCAGGTCAGCAGGAAACCAAAAAACTGTAATGCAGGAAAACAAAGCCGCAACGCAGGGATCCGCAAACCCTGGTCAGCCAATGTGCGCGGCCGCCTCGCGGCCACGAGCGACTCGCTGACCCGGGTCAGCCAGAGGGGGTCGTCGCAGGATCCTGCAGGATCCAGTGCCCTGGCTGACCCCCGTTTGCATCGACCGCCGTCTCAAGGCTTCCGAGGGGGGGGGGGGGAGGGGGCAAATCATGGCCGGCGGCACGCGCGCGGCCCAGGAGGACGGCCAGGGCAGGGGGGCCGGGGAGTGGGACATAATTAGCGTGGCCCACGCCATGATCTCCCCCCCCCTGCCAGGCCCAGGAGGGATTTGTGGAGGATCCAGGCCACGTTGGATCTTTCTCTCTCCTCAATCACCAGTCAGGCCCAGGAGGCGATTGGAGAGACGAGGTCAGGATCCTCCACAATCCCTCTTGGCCTGGAGCTCCCCTGGCAGGGGCAGGCCCAGGTGGCCAAGTTTGCAAACGATCCACGAAAGATGGCCCACGCCATGATCTCCCCCCCCCAACATCACAGGAGGAAAGAGAACTATTCGGCGGTGGACAAACCTCCCTTTAGTAAACCTCCCTTTACCGAAAACGGCCTGGGACCGAAACCGACGGACCTGGACCCGCAAAAATAGCGGCCGCGACGCCCTCTCGCGAACCGAAAACGGCCAATTCACTAATCGACGTGTCAGGGTAGGATTTCTATCAACCTCCGAACTATGCACAGACACCCACTCTGGCCAGGCCCATCCTGAGCCCAGGATCGGTGCATACGCCCTCCTACCTTGGCTAGGAAGGTATATGCACCGATCCTGGGTCAAGGATGGGCCTTGCCCTTAGTGGGCCCTGGAAACGGCAGGGCCGTTTTTGTTACCGGTTCCGTTGTGCCGTTTTTTTGCCAGTTCCGACGCCGTTTTTTGACCGGTTCCGTCGCCGTTTTTGACCGGTTCCGGCTCTGGGTCCCGTTTCGGGTCTCCGTTTTTTTGCCGCTTCCACTTTCAAAGGACATTTATTTTGAAACGGTGAAAAAACGGCCCTGCCGTTTCCGGGGCCCACAAAGGCCCTGCCAGGATCGGTACATGTGCATGGTTCCCTTCGCCCGAATCACCCCCCTCTTTAACGGCCTTGCCGGGATCGGTGCAAAAGCATGGTTCCCTTCGCCCGACTCACCCCCCTCTCTGCCGCCCGCGACACTTGCTGCACGGGCCAGCCGTGGCCCGGGCCGGCCGTGGCCCGCCCTTCGGCGGCACGGCGCGCCAGGGCCGACGACCCCCACAGCGCGCGCTGGCGCCAACGTGTGCGTGTGTGCCCATCGGAAGCCTTCGATACGACGCAGGCGATGCACTGATGCACTGTCAGGAGGCAACGGCTGGGAGGTTGTCGTCGGAAGGACTCAAGAGGATTCAAGCACCATTGGGGGGCTGCTACGCCGGAGTGGGCCTCGGATTGGGCCGGATCAAGCGGGATTAAGCGGGATTAAGCCACATTAAGCCAGATTAAGCGGCTTTAAGCGGATTAAGCCGGATTTCGGAACAGGGCAAAATCAGAATTTAACCTCCCAGGAGTTACATCCGAAATACTGGTTGGGCTGAAGGGGGGAAACACACATTGGGCTAACACGCGCCCTGAGGATCATCGGAAGGGGGCGTGGCCGAGCGCGCTCTGGCGCGCGCGGCGGCGGCGCGGTGCGTTCGGCCCGGAGGCCAGCGGGGCTCAGCTCCCGTACAGGACGTGCGCGTCCTCGGTCGGCGGGGAGGAGTCGGCGGCGAGCGAGGGGGCGAGAAGGCGGAGGAGGAGGAGGAGGAGGAGGAGGAGGAGGAAGGTTTGGGCTCCAACGCCTGGCGATCACCGATCCCGCAGTTTGGTGTGATTGGCCAGGTGCAGCTCGGACCTCAGGCGTGCAGAGCCGCGAGTTTTTCTCCTTTACACTCGTACCATCACGGCAGGCCGCCGGGAAGTTCCAGAGCCAGCCTGGCACCGACGGCTACGTCAGCAGCGTGCAAGGGCACGTTTATTGCTAGGGCTTGCCCAGGCGACAAGTTTACCACGGAGACATCACTCAGCCCAGAAAATGAGTTCCCACTGGACATGCAGCAAATGCGAAAAGAACATTCCCAATCACAAATGGTTCTGTACATGTGGCAACACATGGGGAGACAAAGCAGCCAGGCCCGGATCAAAAGGCAGAAGGTGGGATCTGCCCGTCAACACTCAGCAGGTATCGAGGGCACAACAGCTGGAGCTAGGAAGAATTGCAGGCAAGATGCTCCAGGCCACTCCAGAGGCAGCGTACAATCATCCGAAGTATTCTCAGCCGCCAGAATCACCAGATCTCCAGCCACTGTTCAGAGCAGAGATGAAGAACAAAATCACATCGCTCGCAGCCCTCATCAAGGCCAGCCGATATGCAGGAAAAGAGGATCCGAAAGCCGCGGAAGAAATTGCTGTATACAAGTTCGTGGTCGCCCAAATGGAGCCCCTCGACAAACAGATCGCGGGTGTCAAAATCATGATCGAAAAGAAGGCCGCCAGAGCAGCAGAGGTGCAGAAGAAGATGACCGAGCTGCGAGAGGAGGCCGACACACTCATGTACGATGCAGAATCCCTCAAACAGACGCTGGAGCAGCTCAGCCAGGAGAAGGAGAAAGAGAAGGACGCGGGCATGGGCGAAGCTCCAAACCCACCTATAGGCGCCAGGCCGCCAATGGTCGGGTCAACTTCTATGCCATTTTGCTCAGCATCTACCTCTGCAGCTCCCATGCAGCCAGTCCTCAGCACAGTCCAGAGCATCCAGCAGCACCAGCGGGCCCAGGGCGACATGATCAAACAAATGTTGGATTACATGGCATACAACAGTTCAATGCTGGCAGCGCTACAGAAGCAGTACCAACACCCGCCGCAGTCTGTGGGGTTTACTATGAGTACGGAGGCGCCGCTCTCGCCAACACCGGTTGCGTCGTCGCCTCCCTTTGCGCCAGCCTCTCCAACAGCCCCAACCGTGCCAGGATCACCGACATCACAGGTACTCGCGATGGCATGGCCACCATCAAAGGGAAAAGGCAAATGTTCCGACGCGGGCAGTCCATATCCTACGGAGACCCCACCACTCACGGCGGCGCAGATGGCGATGATCAGCCCCACGCAGGAGATGACGCAGGACATCGAGCACATACCAGGACCGACAGGTACACACCCTGGCGCTCCTTCACCACAGGCGGTGGAAGCCATGGCAGCAGCATACGTGGAACTGGCCAAGTCGCATCCAGAGCTCATCCCATCATCCCCGACGGAAGCGATCACACAACCGATGGCCATGTATCCTCAGACGGCGCCCCAGACCATGGGCCCGCAAGGGTCAGCCATGGCAGCAGCAGCAGGACCAGCAGCCGAGAAGCGCACGACCAGCGACCGTGGCATAGAGGCGCAAGGCCTCTCGCCGCCAAGGAGGGAGCTGAAGGACGATTTCTACGAGATCGGGCTAGACGCATAGGACGAGGCTGGGATCTTCCAGTAAAGGTGGGATGGGGAACGATTGAATATTTGGCGTACCACGTTGACAGTGACGAGAGCATCGTCGACAATGGCAGGCCAGGAACCTATACGTTCGCCGTCCCCACCGCAGAATTCGACATCAGCACCGATTTCGAGGAGCGCAGCCGTTCCTCAGGACCCTCTATGCCGAGAGGGCTGGGACATGAGAGAATGCAAAATGGTGAATGCAGCGGCCAGCAGGTTGTTATTCCCATCAGCATAGATCCATATATGCACGAGGAGCCTGAGCACAGGCCTCAGTCAGCTCAAAGCGCCAGACTCAGCCAGGCTGAAACGATGGCGCCGGAGCTCAATGATACGTATTTCCGCATGCCGATTGCCCCGACCATGGGTGTACCCGTGCAGCTCAGACTGGCGCATTTGCTCGAAGCAGCAGACAGCCAGGACCTGACAGTCACCGACTGCACCATCGGGGACTCGGACCGCGTCCTGCGTGCCATCATGCAGCACGCGAACTACTTCACGCTAGAGACCTCCCTGGTGGGGGTCAAGCTGCATCAGGCGGCGCAGTTTGCCGCAGATGTTTCACTGCCGTTGCTGGGGAGGCCGCGGTACATTCAGATATACACAGATGGCTCTTTCAAAGATTTCAATAGCACTTCGTGGGCTTTTGCAGCGGTGGCTCTTGGAGAATCGGGTTCAATATCCTTTATTGGGTTTGTGAAAGGCTACCTCTCCAACACCTCCGCTATCCCCTTGGGCCATTCTATCTAGTGCCACGGCGAAGCTCTCTCCAGCTGGGCATTAGGCTATTTTGCCGTTCAGCTGAAACATCCTGAACTCAGCCTACCTGCCTTCACCATTTTCTCAGACTCTACATCCGCCATCGGATTAGCTAATGGGGAGTTCGGGGCCTCCGGCAACCAGGACCTGGCCGCTCTGACGCATCATGTGTTCATGTTAGCCAAATGGACCCTGGGGATGAATCTAGTACATGTTAGGGGCCACGCCAACAACCCGTGGAACGAGCTTGCTGATAGTCTAGCGAAGTCCGAGGATGCCGAAGTCACCAGGTACCAGGACTTCCTGATTAATGAGCTTCGCTACACACCTGCCCTAGACTGGTGCTGGACCAAGTTCGCCACCCCCAGCATGCTCGCGGCGTGCCCTTTTTCTCCAGAGGCAGGTGGCAAGTTCACGCTACCGCACAAGGAGGTACGCTGCGACGAACCTCCCTTTGAGCAAGCAATGACCTCGACCAAGAGCAAAGCGAGGACCACGTTCAACTTTCAGGTCGTGACATATAATGTATGCTCGGCCCTGGACAGAGGGCCTGGGACCACGGGGACCAAAGGGCACCGCAAAGGAGACCTCATCAGGAACCAGATCCTTGCCCAAGACTAACTCCTCGTGGGCATCCAGGAAACCAGGAATGTCTCGGGCAAGAGGACCTCCAAGGGATTCATCATCTTGGCCTCGGGGACTCAAAAAGGCAATTTGGGCTGTGAGCTGTGGGTCTCCACCAGCGCTCCTTACGTCTACGTCGACGGGGCCCCCAAGTACCTCACGGGCAAGCACTTGGTAGGCCTCTACGAAGACCCCCGCAGGCGGATTGCCAAGATCGATGCCCCCATGCTCACAATGGTTGCTATGGTCCTGCATGCTCCGCGCGGCGACCATGGCATTGAATGACAGACCGTGTGGTGGGCGGACGCTACCAGGCTGTGTCGCGATTTCAAGGCGCAGCTCATTTTTGCCGACGCCAACGGAAGAGTTGGCAACGTACTTTCAGATGCTGTTGGCCCACGCGGGCACCGACAGAATGATGACGCAGGAGGTGAACTTTGTCATGCGATGCTCCTAGAGACCAACCTCATGGCCATAAACACCCTGTCCGTATCGGCAGCGAGCACCGCATCGATTACATATGTATGGACTGCACATGGTCAGCGCGCGTATATCAGCACACCGTACTGCACGACATGGATGACCTCAACGCGCTCTCGGATCACTCGCCAGTTGCACGTGCGATCCTATCCAGCAGCACGCGCAAAGCAAGCTCCCCAAAGCCCCAGTATGACACCAGAGGCCTACAGGACCCCGACAAGGTGCAGTTCTTTCTTTCCATGATACGTGGCATTCCGCAGGTGCACGCACATGTTGACATGAACGAGCGTTTCAAGCACATCCACAAACATGTCCTACGTTGCGCGCCAGAAGCATTCCCGTCATCAAACAAGGTGCCCATCAAGCCCTACATCACCCCAGACCTCTTACAAGCCATCCAGCATAGAAAACGGGCCAGGCAGATTCTCAGGACATGGAGGCGCCTGGACGGCAGTGCAGTTGAGCAGTCCCTCATGCGCCTTGACGTCGGGTCGCCAGTTCACGATCAACCCCCAGACTGTTTCAAGTTGCGCACCATCGCCGTCGCGGACGGCATCGCAGATTTCATCGCAGATAACATTCTCTTACATGGGCTGATCGAGGTGCTAGTGCAGTGCCTCCGCGACACTGGAAGTTGTTTGAAGAGACTCCCCAGGGAGGCGCGAGAGCACACCCTCGAACAATTGTCACTGGAGGTCGAAGCCGCAGCGGAATCCTACAACCCAGGGCTTGAGTGGAAGACACTCCGCCAACTTCAGAGATTCGGAGGCCGCCCCCCCAAAGGTTCCACGGGCTTCCCCATTTGGATGGACTCCCAAGGGGACCTCATCCAGTCCTCCAAGGAGCTCGCCCAGGAGGTCTTGAAGTCATTTGGAGACATCGAGAACGCAGACATCGTCTCTTAGGAAGACCTCATCACGGACTATAATCAGAACTCAAAGATCCCGTCACAGGCCCACACTAGGACCATTGACAACATCATGCCGCTCAACTGGCTCGCCCGTAGGATTCGCAAGACCACGTGAGGCAAAGCTGGGGGCCCCGACGACATCATTGACGACCTCCTCAAATTGGATCCACGACTATTTCGCGGCACTACTGCGCCCTCTTTTTGTAAAGATAGGTCTGGACACCCGCGAACCATTGGCATTGAGGGGAGGATGGGCGGTGGAAGTACCTAAGAAGGGCGATCCAAGGTTGATGTCGTCGTGTCGGGAGATTCTCCTGGGTTCGCACGTGGCCAAGACGCACCGCGCATTCCTCAGAGGCAAGCTGTTGCAGGCCACCGGCCACCTCCAACATGAGATGATGATGGGAGGTCTCCAGAAGCGAGGTACAGACATCGCTTCCATGATTGCCAG